CCAACTTAGGCAGGTACATCAGTATTATGAGGGGCTGTGGTTAGCCTCATCCATCCAATGGAAAAAGCCAAGATTCGAGTCTATTGGCTGGTTGGCGTAGATCACTACTAGTTCCAGAAGAATTAAGCCACCACTTAAGGGGTAGGAATATAAATACAAGGATTAGAGACTTATTAGAAAATTCAAGGTAGGATTACCAGAGCAGGGGTACAGAAATCTGGATGAGCATCACATGGCAGCAAAGCATTGGTTTTCTGTATCTCTTTGCTGCCCTCTAGTGGTCTTTGAGAGTTTTCCAGCCCAGATCTAGTAGTCCTGATGAAGAGCAGCATCACTTATCTATCATATTTATTAAATTTATACAGCCTTTAATAATTTATTTAATGGTACATTTAAATTGGCTGCATCTTAGAAAATAACTGGATGCAGGAGATCTTGCTTTGAGGCATTTCCAGGTTTTCACACTGGATTCTGAATACACTGTAGAATTTTAATTATCTTTCTCTTTGCCCACTCTTTCAGATCAGTCCAATTCTGTACTTTCTATTACTTTGTTCCCTTTTTTTCAATTTGCAGTTTGAGTTTCACTTTGCTATTATTTGTCATGCATCTTTGGTATTATTCTGTTTTGTTTTATTCTCTGCCCAGATGATGTTTTTATATAGCTTCCTATAAGTAATGTAAATAAATGAGTTGCATAAACACTGATGGCCTTTTTGAGGAGGAAAAAGAGACAGAAAGGAGAAGTAGCCCCAATCAGGAAGGACTGACCTGTGGAGGAGAAAAATAGATAAAAATACAGATATATGCTTATCTGTAAAGTTAGGACTCTGCTGCCTTTGCTGTTAAGGCCCTCCTTCCCCATACATTGTTTTTCTGGTGCCAACAGCTGTCAGAACAATTCGGTCCTTGCAAATGGAAAATAGCCTAGTTAATACTGTCTTCTGGCATTCTTATTTCCTCTTTCCAATAGCTTGGTACTTTCTAGGTAAAGAAGATGCTAGTATTCTCCTTTGCTCAGAAGTTTCAGTGCCGTGACATCACAGAATCTACATTTCTCCAGCATCCTTGGGATAATGTCACTATCAATATATTGTATTGACAGAGAAGGGAACTGAATATTGCATAGAGTGAGAGATGTTTCCAACAAGACAGCTTTGTTTTTGAAGATGGGGGGAGCGAGAGAGAAAGAGTGTTTAAAATTGTACTCTGGCTAGGGTTTTTTTTTAAGCTGTGTTATATTTGGTTTGGGATCAAGGTGACTTCTAAAGAGTGAATTTTGGCTTAGTGCAATAGAAGTCTTAATCAGCTGTGGTTAAAGAAATCACAAATTAGCATAATGTATGAATCTGGCCATGCAGTTCATCACAGATTTGTTCTTTACTGAAATATAGGCATGTGGTCCAGAAATGTTCTTCAGAAAGTATTTAGAGGTCATTTTGAACTGCTGTGAATTGTGAGCCATTTGCCCAATGGCTGTCCATTCGGTTATGTTTAGTCAGATTTCTCAAGATAGATGAATTCATCCGTTTGCTTGGTTTCCTCCATGAGTTAATCTTGTCACATCTTGCTTTTTCTCCCCACCTTTTTTTTCCTTTTCCTGCGATCACATCATCATCTCAGCTGACACTGAGTTAGAGAGAAGTTAATAGCAACTGCAATCTTTCTCCTTCCTGGCAATGATATGAAGAACAAGGTTTCCATCACCAGATGCCCTATCAGAATGACAGTGAAGTCCATGGCAGGAGGGTTTTTCCCCCTAAGAACTTATTAAGTGTAAAAAATGTCTGCTCCTTGAAAAAAGTACTTGAAGCAATCTTCAACAGTTTTATTGAAATAAAAACAGAAAACAGAAACAAGAAATAGTTTTCCTAAACAGTTGCTTTAGGAAACAGAAATTACATGAATATCTTTACAAAGAGGAGCTATGTGCAACCTAATTCAGTGCACAATTCTTTAAAGGTTAATTTAGCACAGAATGTTGCACCTGTTCACATTGTGCACGAGACCTTCCATTATAATAAATATAGATAGAATGAGATGCAGTAGAATTTTCTGAGTATTATGCTGCACTATGATGCTTCAATAAGAGGGTTTTTGTTTCATTTTCCCCAAATGGAAATAATTTCAATAATTTATGTTGTAATCAAGTACTGTATTGAACCTAGGAGAAAAAACAAGTGAACAGCTAGCTTCAACAGCAAAGTTTCTGCCCCACCCCTCCAGGTTCAGTGTTCGATTGGAAGAATAACAGATTCAAATCATTTTTACAATTCTTTCAGAACTGACAGCCCTTTTAAAAACTTCATTCTGATGTATTAAATGTATAAAACATATACTGTAAAGAAAATACATTGTGAACAGTCTTCTTAAAACATGGCAAAGGCTATTTTAAGTAGGCAAACTATTGAAGCATTCTTCTAGCATTCGTTAGCTTTATATTTGCCCTTTCTGGCAAGAGCTGAATTCCCCACAATAACCCTGTGAGTTAGGATGGGCTGAGAAAGTGACCACAGAGAAGCCAATCACATTTAAACTAGAATGTTGTACAGACCCAGCCTTTGATTAGTTTGTAAGTTCATGAGTTAGGTAAATCTAAAAAACAGGATTAACCAAGCCAAAGTAATGTTAGAAGGCCTGCTGCCACATTATTAAGCCTGTAACCCAGTCATAAAATCCATCAGGCTATACTGTATATATTTTTAAATAAATGTTATTTTCTTTAAAAACACCAATAAAACAGAAAACAGAAACAAGAAATAGAACTTGTAAATACCAAACAATTCAACCCAACTATCTGTATTAAACACACATGCACACACATGCAAACTATCAACATATTCACAAAAGAAAAATAGAAAAAATAAATAAAACAAAGGACAAAAATAAAAGAAGTAAAAAATAGAACAAAATTTTAAAAACCCTAAAATTATGAATTGCTTTTTGGATGGACTGGCAACATGCAGTACTCACAGATCATATTATTTTGTATTATATTGACTAATACAACTTAATTTAACACATTTTGAATATTTTTTTCTTAAATAAAAAGATATTTACACAATAAAGCAAATTACTTGGCAGTTAAAATAAGGTCAATTAAAATTTCAGAAATTAGTTTCTATTCCATAAGAAAAAAGGAAAAATGCTGAACATAAGAGCCCCTGAAATATTCCTAAAACAAGTGGTAGATTTTCAGAGTTGGTGGCCCTATTAATTAAGAAGATTCACTCAATCAGATTATACAGTTGCCTACAAATGAATCAGCTTTGCCTTCTCCAATCTTAAAGTGCCAGTACTACTACATCCAGTTAAGCATTACTATATGGGATTTGTTTGTTTTTGTTTAGTTTGTTGTATGAACTCAGCTATTCTGATTTGAAACCATGGGTTAAAGTGTTGCATGATCCCACCAGTGTGATGTATTCAACAAACCATGGATGAAGCATGCCATTGTTTAACACAACGTGTAAATTCAGTCAGTGCTCTAATTTAGCAATCATCATCACCATCAATTTCAGAGCCTTTCACTCCATTCCTGGCTCCCAGTACTAAGAATGTAGTGCTTAGGGCTGGAGGAAGGAATAGGTTCTGCTGTAAGAGACCAAAAGAAGCTCTCCACCAGGGCATCAAAAAAGTCAAGATGGTGGCTATGACCATGCAATCAAAGCCCTGTCCCTTTGTATGTGCATTGTAGTTGCCCCTACTCTCAGCTCTCCATTGATTGATTATGCATCCACAAGTTGATGTCGACTTAGTGACCATGTTGATAAATTTTCGAGCTCTCCATGGATAACTAGTTTTCTCCCATGTTTCTGGGAGTCCTTCAGCCTGCTCCTTAACATCTCCCCTGACCATGTTTTATGCTGTCTCTTCTATAGCAAGACCAAACTGCCACCTGGGGCAAGGAATATTCCCCCCTCCCCATGTAATTGATTGTTGTGTCTGCACTACTGCACTCTTGCAGTATCAGCAAGCACACAACATTAGTAGAGTACTGCAGTATACCTGACTGAAATGTGGATGATGGCAACTTTGTGGTTCAGTATGTTGTGCAAACTCACTTATGTGGTTAGTATCTGGTTTTTTGTGTCATGTGAATGCTGCCAATATAGCTTAGTGTAGTGGCTATAAATGCATAACTGACTGTATAGTACTATGCATATTTATTTTAAAATAAATTCACCTTCAGTGGGACTTATTTTGACACAGATGTAAGATGTCTATGTTCACACAACATGGTAAACCCAAACAAATCAAACTACATTATCATGGCTCAGTATGTTGTGTGAATCCAGCCACTGTGGTTTATGACCATTGTTTATGGTTAACAAGTCTTGTGAAAGCAGCCAACCATGGCTTATTCAATCAAACCAGGATGGCTTAGGTTTTCTGAATTCAGCCACTGGATCGCACTGTCCAGCAATGAGGTGCAAGGGCTCCGTGGAAGGATTTTCTCAATGACTGCAATAAACGTGGTTATTTGGCACTTGCCGCCAAGGCCTCCAGATTCGGGATGGTCAGGGCGAGGGGAGCAAGGACGCCGTCAGGTGTCCTGCCGTGCACGACCAAGAGGTCCCTCCTACGAGAAAGGGCGGCAAGGGTCGAGCAGAGTTATCGCTGAGCATCTCCCGTTTTGACGCCTCAGGCTTGACAAGCAGAATAGCAAGCAGCCCACAGAAAAAAGTGGGTCGAGACCGGCAGAGGGGGAACGAAGGCGTACGAATTGGCTCCCATCCAAGGTAGTTTCCCGTAAGCCACATGTTTGTGCGGCGCTCTTTATAAGCACGACCTCGAGGCAGCCAGCAGTTGGAGGCAGTCTTTCCTAGGGATTGTTGTTACGAAGTGGAAGTGCCAGCCCCTCTTGCCGGCCGCCTACAAACGGGAGCAGGACTAATTGCAAGAAAAAGGCGCGCCCTCTGTCCGTCGCGAAGCTGGACTTGGAGCCTTTGGCAGTGCAGTCCCCGGAGTAGTAGGCGCGCGCCCGGCGAAGGTAGGAGCCCCTCGGGGCGGCGTTGTTGTAAAGGGGACCGGGGCTGGCGGCCGGATTCTTTTCTCCCCCGGACCCCGCCGGGCCGGTAGAGTAGCGGAATAGTACTTGCTTCAAGCAGTTGCGCAAAGCACCCAACTCTTTTGCAGCCGTCCCAGGCGCTTACGCTTTGGCCCAGTTGCTCTGACACTTTGCTCGTTATGTCTTGGGCGGCTGTGGAGATCCTGGAATCTCTGCAGAGCATTCCTGTCAGGACCTACCGCCGAGTAAGTATGAAAAACGAATCGCCGTTGCAAACGTAGGCTTTCTGCGAAACGCTGGGCTTTAACCTATTCGGGGGAAGATAAAACTGCGCTGACAATGGCCTGTCCGCCCACTGTTGAGTCGGGCAGTGCAGGATTGTCTCGTTGCCCCTTGGCTCCTCCCTTCAGGGCATATTAACCTTTGCTTGTCGCTGGCTTCATGCTCCCACGTTCTCTTCTCTGCGCGCACCCTCATCTTTCACGCCCTCTCCTGTCAAGTTACACAAAGCTGGTCAGAAAAATCTAACGCTTTTGGAAAAAAAATATTGAACCCCAACTTGAGGAATTGCTCCTCCAGCTGGCCAATGTTAGTTTGGAACTAAGGCCCAAAAGATATTTTCGAATAAACATGCATTGTAGTTCAGAATAAGTTGCTTTTTTAAAAAAATCAGCTGCACTGTAATACACTTAAGTTGGTTTATTAGTGCTACCAGCATGTGGCCAACCAAAACTGTAGAGCAGTAATAGTGCAGAGTGGAGCTGTTCGCATAGTCTCAGAGAAGGGACCTGTCATATGTCGGGGTAAAGTATCCTTCTGGTATGGAAGTGTTAGAGCACCACAGGACTCTTCTGCTGTACTCAAGTAGATAAGCCATCTAGTGCAGTGTTTCTCAACCTTGGCAACTTGAAGATGTATGGACTTCAACTCCCAGAACTCCCTAGCCAGCCTTACTGGCTGAGGAATTCTGGGAGTTGAAGTCCACACATCGTCAAGCTGCCAAGGTTGAGAAACACTGATCTAGTAGTTTAAAGCCTTGAACCTTTTCTTCCTGTTTAGCCTTGGTGAACTTTTTCTGGTTCCTTAGACCTTAATTTGAACCTGTTTTTGACTAGGTCTTTACTCTGAGCCACAAAATAAAAGATAGTACTTTTAAGTGCAGCATGCTGAAACAGAAATCATAGTTAACAATACACAGTGGCCAAGCCCCTATAAAACAATCATTCTGAATGGGTACCGTCACAGAAAGCTAATAGTGTGTGGCGGGTGGGGAGTTCCAAGAACACATGGTTAATGGTTTTGTGTATCCTTAGGTGTGTTGTATAAAAGGGTGTACCTATACTTCTAGTATGGAAAGTGAAATTCTTAGGCCTGACTTACATATTATACTTAATACTTTAGTTTTGGTTTAATAAGTTGTGTGAATGCAACTGTTCTGGTTTATGGCTTAACCAGAATTGGCTACGTTCACCAACATGCTCTGCTACAAGTAAGCAAAATATGATTTAGTGATGTAGTTTTAGTATCTCCTAGTTAAACTTTGTTCCCAATTCAGAAGTGGTTTGCCATTGCCTTCTTTGTAGGGCTGAGAGTGTGTGACCGGCCCAAAGTCACCCCAAAATTTTTAGTACTCACAGTCTCCTGGTTTCTAGCCTGGTGCCATTAACCATTCTACCAAGCCAGCTCTTGTTTGCAGACAGCTAAGCTAAACAAAAAGGCTTGAGAGAGTTATTTTAATGTTAAGACACTATAAACCTATTTAGTTTTCAACCTGTTCATACAGTATTAAAGGCCTCCTAGTACTTTCTAATTGGGCATATTTCAGTAAACGAAGCATGATTTGAAGTCTTTTCCAAATCTTTCCTCTTTGTTTTTTCCTCTCTTCTCCTTCATTTTGGGCTGTTTTGTCGAGCTTAGAGAACAAACAATTGGATGCATTTTGGAGGATTCCCCAAGGTTGTAGGACAATACCTTCTGAAAGCCGTGTCATAAAATAAGCCCAGTATTATTCTGGAGAAACAGGGCTTTGCTTGTGGACGGCAAGGTGCCAAGGATAAGGTAAAGGAACATGCAGTGGCATGAGCCCAGCAGAAAAGAGCTGTGCATAGGAACCGAAAGTGAAGACATTATGAAAGACGAACAAAAGAGAGCAGCTGGAAAATGTAATTCAGCCTTCTCAGTCTCAGCCTTACATTGGGTTATTAAGAGTTGTGCTCCAGTATATTTGGAGGGCCACACTAAATAGGCGACTGAGGTTGCACTTAAGCGTGGAATGTTTTTCCACAGTTATTGCCCAAACTTGAATGTTAATGGGAAGTATGATAGAAAGGCACTGCCAGGTCTATTTCCAGGCAAATAAATACTTCTAGTGACCTAAGAGTAGGGTTACCATATCAGGCCTTAAAAATTGATATGACTGCTAGATGGCAGCAATTGCCACACACACACACCTCTAAGTCTTTGCTGCCATCTAGTAGTTGCCCAGATGTTTGCAGTCTAGGTATGGAAGCCCAAATGGGTCTTGATCTGTGAGGACTAGAGTAACTTTTGTTCTGGAGCTTTTTTCCTCTGTTATCTCTAGTATTTATAGATACAGGATCCTTAGGATTTATAGATTGGAAGTCCTCTGCAGAGTAGTTGAGCAATTTTTAATGTCCTTAACTGCTGTGATCTATTCATTACAGCACTTGAGAACATAAAAAAATGGCTTGCCTGTCCTGCAGAGGATTCCCAATCATTTAGTCCCAGTGAAGTTCCTGGAGTTGATGGTGGCTATCTCAGATCACTGCTTCCATTGCCTTAGATTGCAGGGGGACCGAGTGGGGGCCTAGAGGTTAGTCTCAACATCTAGACTGGCTCCTGTGGGAGAAAGCTGTGGTTAGTAGATCCAGCTTTTGCAAGTAAGTTCCAGGAGCTGACTTGTCTGTTAGTGGTTGCTACAACTTGGTGGTCTTCTAACTTTTAATTCCTAGCTTTTTTTCCCAAGCTGCTGTTCTGTAGTTTTGCCCTCTATCTGGAACCATTTCACATCCTGCTAAGACTATAACTTCAGGGGCTTTTCATAGCAGGGAATTTTGGAACATAATGCCTTGTGGAAGCAACAAAAGATAAATACCCATTTTTAGCATCTGCAGTCTGTTTTGAAACAACAGCAGTTTCAGAAGATACTGAAGGGGAAATTCCAAATTGATCTGTGGGACTTGAGCTATTTCCTTGGAAAATTGAAGTTAGAAGAGTGGAAAGGTTGTAGAGAAAAAGAAGGAAACCAATTTGTGGGCGCTACCCTGAATATTTGTGACATAAGGGATTAATTCTGCCTTTTCTGTGGATGGATTAAAACATACTTATTTGCTTGTAATATTTGAATGATTTATTGTTAAGGATTTGTTTTAGTTCTTACTGTTTTACATATTGATCATATTTAAATATTTTATGATTATTTTATAGTACTGTATTTTTGTAAGCTGCTTACAGCCATTATTATTAATTATACTTTTATCCCGCTTTTTTTATGTATAACTCAAGGCAGCAAACATACCTAATACTGCTTCCTCCTCCTATTTTCCCCTCAACAACAATCCTGTGAGGTGGGTTGGGCTGAGAGAGAAAGAGCGACTGGCCCAAAGTCACCCAGCCAGCTTTCATGCCTAAGGGAGGCCTAGAACTCACAGTCTCCTGGTTTCTAGGCCGGCACTTTCACCACTACATCTGCATTTTCTAAATTAAAAAATGCGCCAGAGACCGGGGCTGCAATAGACATCTAGAAACTGAGCTTAGGGAGAATAAAGCTGAGCGCTACAATACTTCATTGGTAGAGCGTTATGTTGGAGCAAGTGTTTTCATCTGCACAAGGAAGGGAAAAACCAGCTTTGTCACAGAACGGCAGGGGATGTGCAATCCATCTGAGCTGTAATAATGGGGGAAATTCCCAGCTTGGCTATTTGTCTGGCCTCTTCTTTTCCTACAAGTGGAGATGGAGGGAGAAGAAGAGGGAAAGGAATGCTTGCAAACCAAAGTTAACTCTTCAGAACCTGCTGAAAAGGGTCCCCAGTTGTTCCATCATGTGCAGCCTTTAAAACACTCTTGGGAAATTGACACCTTAGCAGCGGCGCTGCTGCGCTTTGCTGAACAAATGTGGTAGACTTCATAAATAGTCCAGAGATTTCTGCAGTCATGGATGCCAACAGGATGCAAAAGAGTTGTTGTTGGAGGCATGCCCAATATGTGGTAATTTGATATGGTTCATTCCAGGCACAAGTTGGTCTGAAGCGAAGGCCGGGTGGGAAAGTACAAATAGTAGAAGGAAATATCACTGCAATATTTTAGCACTGACTCTTTTTTTTTTTTTAAACTACATTCATCTTTATTAAACTTCTGTTCAATAATGGCTGATAATTCTGAGACATCTTAGTACCGCAGTCTTCACTAGTAAGATGTTGTTATAAAGGGCAGTGGGAGAAGAGAGAATGATTTCCCAGCACTTGTGGTTTGGAAGGAAGATGTGTGGCAAACCACTGCAGAGAAGAAACAAGTGATGAGTCCTTTAAATAAGCTGAGTAAATTCTATGGCTACATCTTTTAAAAAGAGGGTGAGGGAAAACAATACCACATTAGCCAGACATAGATGAGTTTGGGACTTATTTTTTGAAGTATAATGTTGATTTACATTAGAATAAAACAGAATGAAATTTAGAAGCTTGCTAAGGGCAGTCCTATCTATAGGAGCAGAAAATGCAAGACTCTAATGTGACACTTCTTTTTCATCCACAGCCCAGGAAAACATGGTTACCTGTATGCAATTAGCCTTGTTCCTTCTTGTAGCCTACGGTATCCGTGAAACTAAACAGAATGGTTTTGGCTGCCAGCGGCTCATCTTGGCATCCCACCTTAAGAACCTGACTGATTTGGTGAGTCTCTTTACAAATTATGTAGTAAGAATGAGGTGTTTAAAAAATAATGATGTGGAGAAGTAACATTATATGGACCGGGTGCTTGTCCTGATGGTAGCTTGGTAGTAGACCTCCAGCTTAACAGTGCAGTCAGGCTGGGCTATATTAATTAAAGTTATAGTAGTACCTAATTTCCAATATTTTATGTTGTTCCTGGTCTCCTAGCATTAGGTTCAGGAGAAACTGATTCTTTTGTATGTGGTACCAGGCAGCAAGAAAGCAGCGCCAGACTGAAAGCCACCTCGGTGATGCAAACTATGAAATTAAGCTTGGCACTTTTCTCATGTTTTCAAATGCTTGACCATTTTCAATGCAATAAAACTGTAAAGTAGTTTTTATTTATTTCCCTCGTGCCAGTGTAGATTCTGATTGAGAGCAACTTGCTAGAGATTCCTACAGGGGTTGCCTGGGGTCTTTCTAATTTGTAGCTCAGTTTGTTTGACTACCAAGAGCATCAGAAGAATGAATATGCAAGCCAGGAGAAAAAAAGCAGGGATTATGCATATAATAAAAGTAACTTCGAATTCTGTCCAAAGAACTGGTTATATTGCACATATAAACTCATGCATAAAATAACACTTGATTTGTTCAAGTTCTCTTTTGGCAAATTATAGATGGGGTGAAGGCCTGTGAAAAAGAAAGGTAGATTATCCAAGATGAGCATAATTCCTGATATTTTCTGATGATCATCCATCCAAATAATAACCATCTCCAAGATCAGCTGGGCACTGCTTCTTACCTGGGACACTAAAGCCACAGTTATTAGGAAGCTTATTTTACTTTCATTTAGTTTATTTTGGTGGTTTCTATCATTTTATCACAATTACTCAATACCTCTTCTATGCCGGCAGAAAATGAAATTGCCAAATATATACTGTTCTAATGCAAGCTGCATGAAGCTCCTAATGTCTTTGGTCCCAATGTCTTTGGTCTTCTGCAAGCAAGCTTTCTGCTGTTGGGGTGGTCAGATCAGTTGGGTGTCTGCAGGACTGAAGTTTAGTACAACTTGCTATCTTTTAATTGACATGCCATTCTCCCCTGGAAGAGCAAGAGAAAAGGGAACAGCAGAAAAGGGAAAAGTAGAAAAATAGAGGAGGATTAGGGGCTCAATTTATCTGAATTAAAACTTCTCAGACTCATGAGGGAGACTTAATATACTTTGAGTATGTTATTAAGAGTGCAGATAGACAGCTTGGAATGCACTGAGAATAGGGCAAACCCTTTGTGGATATTTTGCTTCTTCCCCTGTCCGTCACTTTGGGTTATTCCTCCAGCTAAGGTTTTAAAAAGCATAAAACATTGCTTTTTAAAAATTTAGTTGGAGGAATAACCCACAGGTTGTATATATAATTGACGCAGGCTGGATTTTCTAAAGCTAACGTAACTGACAAAGTAATGGTCAGGGTGATCTAGAGCTGCAAAATGTTGGAAGCAAAGTCTCCTGGAATCTTGATCTTATGTAGACCATTAATGAACACTGGGAAATCTTTGCTGCAAGATTTTGTTTTTATAATTAACTCCCAAAGTTCTTGATTCTTATCTTGCCCACAAAATTCCTGGAGGCCTTGTGGAATTCTGATTCAGTCTGAGAGTAGGAAAGACTGTCACAACCATTATTATTTAGCTAACAAAAATGTGAAGGCAAAACTCTCTCAATGACCAGGAGATGAGGCTGTACGCGGCATTGTTCTAGGGACTCTGCTGAAAGCATTTCTCTTGTGTTGTTTCTGTCTTGCCTGCTTCTGATGCATCTCTGGGGTGAGCATACAATTGACTCATATTTTTATCCTCTATGAGGATGACAAACGTTTGAGTTGGTCCTGTGATCTTATTAAAGTTTCTTTGCCATCCTAAATCTTCTCTATTCTCCACCATTCCTTGACCAGTACTGAAAAACTAGCTTCCCTAGCCCTCCCACAATTCTCAGCAATTATGGTCCTGTTAGTTGGAGAATCTTGGGAGTTCACATCTCTAGTCAATACACACAATACACACAGAGAGTACCCAAGTTATGGAGGGCAGTTCTTGCCAGTGAAAGCAAGTCAGTCTTTTACCCAAAGAAAGTACTCTGTAACATTAATGAGACTGATCTTCCATCATAATATGTTTGTACTATATGCTACTAGATTCTGCAAAAACTAAACAAGGAAGCACTAACTAAAATAATACTTCAATGTTTTGATTATCCATATTGATTGCAAGCAGTCTCTTTTAATAACATCTGGTAAGAATAAATTGTTTTTATCTTGACTTTGGGATAAACCTCCTCAAAAAGGCCAGTTTGGTCTAGTGTTTAAGGCACCAGGCAAGAATCCAGGAGACTATGAGTTCTAGTCCCGCCTTAGGCATGAAAGCCGGCTGGGTGACTTTGGCCCAGTCACTCTCTCTCATCCCAACTCACTTCATAGGGTTGTTGTGGGGAAGATAGGAGGAGGGAGTATTAGCTATGTTTGCTGCCTTAAGTTATTTGTAAAAAAATAATAAAGTTGGGATTAAAAAGTCTAAAAAAAAAAATGAATGTGAATTGGTAGTGTTCCTCTTCCAGGGCTCAGTTTTCTCCCTAGGGAAGCAAATTCCTGTCTGGTTGAAAACATCTTGACTATAATTTGCATGTTAAACAATGCTGCAGCACTTGCTATCTCTCTCATATATTAGTTGCCAAGGAGTATTCAAGGAAAGTGATGTATTTATAGTACATTGTTTGTCCCCTTTGAGGATTTTAAGGCAGTCAGGTCTGCTGCTATCACATCCAATCTTTTAATAATTTATAGGCCCAACTGGTCAGGTCTAGTGGAGATGACTGAGGCTCCATCCTGCAATGTTATTTGGGATGAGTTTGATCCTGTAACTCCTGAGGAAGTAGACAGGGTCCTCTGTAGTATTTGCTCAGCTGCTTGTAGTCTAGATCTCACCCCTCCTGGTTGGTGAAAGCCTCCAGAGAGGCGTCAGAGAGCTGGGTTGTGGTGGTGGGAAATGTATCCTTCAGAGAAGGAGTATTACCATCTCTTTGAAGGAGGTGGTGTACCCCTTCCTAAAGAAACATTTCTCAACCCCTGTATTCTGAGCAATTACCAGCCTGTTTCCAAATTCCCCTTTGGGGGGAAGGTTGTGGAGAAAGTGGTTGGGCTGCAATTGCATAGGGCCCTGGAAAAAATAGATGATCGGGACTCATTTAAGTGTGTTTTCAGGCCTAGATTCAGCACAGGGACAGCACTGATTGTGTCCATTGATGATTTCTGATAGAACTGGGATAGGGTTAATGCAACCCTCCTTGTCCTGCTTGATTTCTCAACAGCTTTGGATACCACTGATCGGCCTTCTGAGCCATTTCCAATAGTTGGGAGTAGGGGGCACTGTATTACAGTGGTTCACCTTCCCAAAGAGATGGTTTCAGTCAGTAATAATGGTGGTGAGAGATCAAACTTTTGATGTCTTAAGTAGGGAGTTCCCCAGACTTGATATTCTCCCCCTCCTAATCAAGATCTACGTGAAACTGCTAGGTGATGTCATCTGGCTGCATGGAGTCAGGTTTCACCAGTATGCTGGTGATGCCCAACTGCATATCTTGACTACTGGCCAAATAAGTGATGCTGTTGAAGTTTGTTCAGTAATCTGGATTATCCAGGTCTGAACAGGGATGAACTGGTTGAGATCAATCCCAGTAAGACACAATAGCTGTGGGTTTGAAAGCAAGCTGCTTTCAGTGGGATTCCATCATTAACTTTCAGCAAGGTTACACTCCCCTGTGCAGATTTAGTTTGGGGGTTCTCTTAGATTTGCAGCTTCTGCTTGAAGAGCAGGTGGCAGCTGTGGCTAAGAGGCCCTTTGCTGAGCTACAACTAGTACACCAATTGCAACCTTTCCTGGAATGGCAGAAATTACTCACTGTCACTCATGCCTTAGTCACCTCTCATTTGGAATATTGTAATATGTAGCGCTGCCCTTGAAGAGTATTTGGAAGTTGCAGCAGGTCAGGAATATAGTGACTTCTTACTATAAGGAACTCATGTAACATCTTTACTCCAGGAAGTCAGTGCCAGTTGGCTTCTGAATGTAGTTAAGGCATTGGTTGTCACCATTAAAGCACTTCATGGTTTGGGGCATTCTTTGAATGCACCTTCTCCTTATAACAGGTTTTCCCAAATTGAGGTATGCCTCCCTTGGGGAGGTGCAGACAGAATCCAGGGGAGGTGTGAAGAACCTTTTAGTTGCATTGTTACAATAAATCCACCTTTCCCAAAGTTTCATTGTATTGTTTTCATTGTTTGTGTTCATTTTGGTGTTTGGATTTTTAGGGGAAGTGTGTACATTAAGATTACACTAAAGGGAGGTGTGATGGCAATACGTTGAGGAACCCCTGCCTTATAACATCTGTCTACTAAATAAGATCTAGCAGGGTGGACTTGTGACATGTCTCTTCTCTTAGAGACTGCCATCTTTTGGGGCCATACAGATGTACGTTTTCAGTTGCTGCCCTTCTCTGGAATAACACTTGGCCTGAGATGGGATCAGCCCCTTCCCTTCTAACTTTTAGAATGCTGATGAAGACAAGGTTGTTTTATCAAGCCAGGGAGACTGGGTTGTTGTAATGAACTCTTGGTTGGGAGAGTGAGTCTCTATTGCTGTTAATGTTTTTAGTCACAACTTCAGGTTCCTAAATATTTAGGAATATTTCTAGTCACTGTTTTACTTGATTGTATTTTTTGATCCCAGTTATATATTGGGAAGCTGTCTATCACTCCTTGTCAGCAGATTGGAGCAGCTTATAAATCCTGCAAACAACCAAATAAATAATAGGCATTTGAGTTCAGAGTGAGCCTTACTTTAATAACAGCCAGATAATATAATCAGAATTGGTGGAGATAATGTATACAGTTTTAACATTGACTAAATTTTTATTTTAAATCTCCTGTTGGAAAGGAATAATATATTGTTCAATTTGTTTGTTAAAAATGCATTTATTTTTCACTATCTTTTCTGAGCCAAGCAGAATGAGTCATTTGTAACTAACCCTATTTCTCAAATATTACACTGCCACACCTTAATGGAGCTTGTTGTTTGAATAAAATGCACTGGTGACTAGTTTTGCAGCCATGACTAAATTTTAGGATTAGTCGGTATATATTTACTAGGAGCCAAGCATTTAATGATTCCAAGTTTAAAATATTGTAGAAGTATTGTGTGCATATTTGGCATTATTTATATCCAGTATGTTGCTTATTACTGTCATAAAAATCTCCCTTCCCTACTCCCAAAGAGAATATAGATCTTGGAACAGAGAATGGGATTTTCATGTCACTAATATCTAGGGAAAGGAATGGATTATCAAAATGTATTTTTAAAACTCCTTGAATTCCTGAGTAGAATGCCTTTAAAACACGTAGGAAATAATAGTTGCAAGATTAACTGTACAAGCAGTTTTCATGCTGCTTGTCATATGTTTTAAGGATGCTCATTCAGAAACCTCAGTTCATTATCTGTTGCAGCAGCTGTTTTAAAAGCTGACTTATACCTGCAGAGCCCCTTGAATTTGTAAAGCTGCTTTTTCATTCTAGTGTGATTTTCCTTGTTATAACTGAGCATAACAGTAGTCCTAATGATAGAATGAAATCAAAGTGACAAATACTTGATAGCACATAAGATGAAAAGGAAGTAGTGCAAATTGTAAATTCATATTCAGATGTGCTCAAGGAAGAGAACGGCTGTGAAATGGGTGGTGTGATTTCCAGAGTAGTAGAAATTGTATAATTTTTTTCCTGGTGATGTTGCTTGAACAGTCTTCCAGCAGAGTATCCAGAAAGCAGATCAAACTGTTGTTCCAGTTGCCAAAGTTTAATCTGGTTAACTGGTTGGTGCCTAGTTGTTGCTGTGCTGGCTTAGGAGCCATATGTCTCTTTTGACAGAATCAATAATCCCCCATCCTTTGGGCCAAGTGGGAACAGAATCATGTTGAAAATGGTGAAATCAAAACCAAAAGGGATGCTTTTAGGCTGCTATCATTGCTAGGATAGTGAACCAAACCTTTGCCCTGATTGGTTTCCTGCTTGCCTTTGCCTAAGTTGCTCTGTGGCGTTGCTAGAAGCTGTTTTGTGTTCAGATAATGGAGCAGTTATTTCCATTGGATGTGTCTTTTTGACAGACCCAACTCTGGTCAATCACTGTTGCTAGCTCTGAACCATTCCCTGGTTTATCTATCCTGAACATTTATATTTCACATTTCTTGCAACACTAAACAAGTTCTTGGTTTATGCAAGCAATTGAGTTCTCTAACCTTGTTATGCTGTCACTAGTGTTTATGCTTGCCCTAGATATCTTGGCTTCCTTGGAGCATCCTTTGGATTCTTATTTTAGATTTCTAGATACAGCTAAAACTGAGTAAGATTAGCAGATCTTTATCCTGTATTTTTTCATTACAGATTGATAGCCAAATGAAAACTTCCTGTCTACGGTTTTTTGAATATGTGGATGAAAGGGAACTGGTAAGTTGCAGGGGCTTGTCCTATATTCAGTTTGTCACTGTTGCCAGTTAGAGTTTATGTAAGAGCTTCTAGTGTCCAGACTTTGGAGCAGTGAATTTGAATGTATTTTTTAAGAATATTTTTTTTCTCTATGAGAAGTTGTGGGTACAGTGCTGAACTTTGCCTTAGCCTTGTGTTCCTGCATATTTTTTCTCTTCCTCTAGCATGGCCACTACCAGGAGATTCCAAACCAGACTTTTCTGTCATGTTAAACCTTGAGATTCCAGTTGGTTTTGAAGCTATGGCTTGCTCAAAATCACTGGGATTGTGATTATTTCCTCCCCACAATTTATGAAGAAAGGTTATCTTTCTACTCTAAAGGTTAGCTTATAAGAATTTTCTGAGAAAACCCAGAGAAAAGTCTCTGGAACACAGTTGAAAGATACTGTTTTTAAGAACTTGTGAACTAAATTTAGCCTGAATTCATTGGTATGCCATTAGAATTTGCTTCAGCAGCCAGGATGTGTCTTCTGGGTAGTCCTGATTTCTGTAAGATGGTGGAGAAGTCATTAGCTCTGTTTTTCATCTGATGAGCTCCTAGACAAAATGCCCCAAGAGGAGTTAGAGCCCTTGATGCTGTTATTGCTCATTTGATTGATCTGTCTCTTTGGACCCATTGTATAGAAGAGCAAGCAAGAAGAGGCTACTGATCTTTTTTACCCTTGTCCTTTTCTGGAAAGGACAAGTAGTAGCAACAAAAAGAAATAATACTTGATCTGAACAATGCTAATCTTTCACATCAAAACTGATTATTTCCATTGCTGACATCTATGTTTATTACCTTCTAGGATAATACTGAATGCTTTCTCAAAGCAGCCTATTTTCCCCTGAAAGATATCATTGATAGCATTGAATTCAAGGAAAACACTCCAAACTATCTGAAACTCAGACTGGTAAAGGATTTACACATGGAGCTTAGAAAATGCATTAAACCTCACAGTGATAAGAATAAGGTAATTTTTACTTATCAGTCTTGCAATCCTCAGAAATAATGCTAATAAATTTAATGAGACCAAGAAGCTGACACCTAAATATTGGAGCTGAGGATGCTGAGCAGAGAACTGAAAAATGCTTTAGTGTGTCTTTCCTTGCATGTGCCTTCCTTTTGAAGAAGTTGGGATTGTGCCAGATATGACCTTAATCACATTTTTGGACTTGACATACCTAATATTTAAAATACTTAATACAGGGCAGGAGGGAGCCAGTTTGGGGATTTTGAAACAATGAGTAGGCTTCAACCATGTGCTTCTCCCTCCAAATGCTTGCTATCTACAATGGAAGGAAATGCTTCCAGTTTAACAACTATGGTGAAACTGCTTTTTGGTTAGGATCATGTCATGTTGGCCCATGGACAAAATATCCAAAATCTATTGCTGGGTGATATCATTTAGGACCAACTGAAATGACTCAAAAAAGTATGCAATCTTCTAAATTCTCCAAAACTCGTCATCAATCAAAATGTCCCCAAATATGAGAAAAAGTTGTAGCAAGAAAATCCAAAAATTAATTGTTCTAACCAGTGGGATCTACAGAGTTAGTCTGGAGATGGACTGAATGTGTAATATGTTGGTATCTGATTACACTTAATCTTTAGGGACTGAGGAAGTAGTTGCTCTATCGCACTGACCTTTTAAATCCCATTGATATGTTGGATGTTCCTTCTGGGATCTTCAGTATAGAGTTGAGAACAGGCCTTGCTTATAGGAGTAGAGAAACTTGTTTTTTGTAATTGATTGGCTGGTGATCATTTCTTATGCTCTCATAGATAAAAATAGCTAATTTTATTTTTCCTCTTGCTTTCTGTTTACCTCTGAAAGAAGTGCATCAAGACCTTCTCTCTGACTGCAGAGGAGACTTTGCAGCTGGTGCACAAATACTTTAATGAAGCCAAGCAGTTTCTGATGAGGGAAAAGTTCACACATGATTGCAGCAGCGTCTTCCAGAAGTGTTCAGAATCATGGGAAGAAGAGACTGTTTCTCCAGGTAAATAGTTCAAGACTTTTCAGATATCCATTTCCTGCCAGTCATCTGGCACAGAGTTGGGGAGAGATGATTTTAAGTTGGGTGAAGCATTTTGTCGCCTTTATGTATGTGCTTTTATGTTTGTGCAGCAGGCTTCTCTCTGTGTTTACACTTGCAAGCGTTGTTTATTGTCAGCTGGAATGCATGCCTTACAGGTCAATAGGCATCTCATTTTAGTGGAAATGTGGTGGGCCTCTTCAGTTTGAAGTGAGGGCAAAACTGTCTCTGTTTAAGTCTGATGTTGCTGCAGATTCCTGACCCTAATGTGCAGCAGGGTGGTGTGGATTTTAGCACAATGCCAGTTGAAATTCTTCCCTTCTCGTTACCCATTGTTCTGTGTTAATCAACTTTAATATTTCTGTATTCCTTTGTCCTCTATCACTTATTTGGGTTCTGTTTGTTTTGAGAGAAGCTTCAAACCATGTGTATAAAGGCTGTCTAAAAGTATACTAAGGTACCCTTCTAACAGAAATTACTTTTGTTCTAAGTATCTTCACAATCAACTTCAGTTTCAAAAACTGCAGCATTTCTACTTGGGATTAGAGATGGATGTGCTCTGAGAATCCTAGAATGGCATCTGACCACCAGAAATGGAATCTTTTAATATTATGGCAGAGAATTTCAGATATATTCCTGAGGTGGACCTCAAATAGATGCAAGGGCTAAGCTGCAAAGACGGGAATAAGTTGAGAAGACATTGCATTCTTATCTAGATGGTATTTCTCTGGGGGTGTATGTGTACATACATCCTTCTATTTTTTAAATTCAGCTTGGAAGGTCCATATAAGATGCTTGAACTTCTTATGGTCCCAGCATTATTCAGGCCTAAGTGAGTGGAATCTTTCTGGCTGGGCTTTTGTCCACTTTTTAAATCTATTCCTAAATAAACTTCATTTTTAGTTCTATTTCTCTGAGACCCAGTGACACAATGAAGCCTTCAGTCCTTCTGAGTGGTTGCTAAGGAGAATGCAGTCACTGTCTGACATGAAAATCTGTCTTGAGTCCATCTGTGTTCTTGTGGCCGTTTATGTTTAATGTCTGTGCATGCACCATCTATAGTGACATATGGCTCACCTGTTGTGGCCATGGATATCCACATCCCCACTCCTATATGGAAATTATAATTCCCTTTGCTTTGATTTGCTGAACAACTGAATCCTGATCCAGTGCTTGATCTCAGTTGTATATGATTTCTCAGTAACTTTAGTTGCATGAGATCTTCTTGATGTTGCTACCCGCAGCTAATCTTACAGTGTTTCCTCCATTCATCCATTCATTCATTAATCTATTCATCCTTAAAGTCCTTTCTGGATCCTGCTGCTGGTTGTCTTGCTTTGTTTCAGTTTTAACCTGCAGTTTGTTCTGTTGCTTTTGGCCATGATCTGTCAAAGCTGAAATCTGGTGTTGGCATGGTAGCTTGAAAGAAGGGTCTAATTTGAACCTAATGCAATCTTTTGATTTTCCTTGCATTTTAAGAAGCTGGTTACTCTATGGCCATTCTCTCTATCTGGATCTTTTCAGGTGTTGTTACTGCCCTGGATTGCAAGTGTCCATCTACAGGCCCGATCAGTGTAGAAGGCTCGACATATCTCGTTCCAACTCCTGAGTCTTTCTCTTCTATTGCAGACCAGCTGGACAGCAGGAAGGCAGCTGTCAGCATTCTCCAACGATTAAGGCTTCCTGACGCTACTCAGATTCAAAGTGGGTCAGAGAGCAATTCCAGGTCTAGGGTGCCTAGAAGCACTCATAAAAGCCAAGAAATCACCAAAGGCTTGAATTTCAGGTCTGGCATTGATGCCATATTACCATCACCATCATCACCCTCTCTTTCTATCCAGAAACAGTTGGAATCCATGGAGACCAGATCTTCCTCCCTGGATTCTAGAACTGGTGAAAGCCAGAAAAGATCCGATGAATTAGCTTCTCAGCATCCCCCTCTCTCTGACTTAGCCAAATCCTTTCTCAATGAGCAATGGTTTGAGATAAAAGAAAAAACTGAGGCCACTCCAGGACTTGCATCTGATCAGGATATCGCTGTTGCCAGCAGTGCATTCAGCTTAACTCTGACATCATCTTCCAGCTTGGAGCAAGTAGACAGCTCTAGGGTGCCCTCCAGTGGCAGTCCTCATGTCCTTGGCCACAAGAATTCTGTCTCTGCAACACAAGAGCCTTCTAGACTAGTGGTCGCCACAGAGAATTCCTCATCCCCCAAACAGATATCCCATGAAAGCTACTCTTGGGAAAAGCAGAGTAGCAGAGATAGAACCCCCAATGCATTGCAAAACACCCAGCTGCGAGAGAGGCGAGAAGAGGGTCTGGCCAAGGACAGGGACTTGGAGGATAGCATCCCCGGACCCAGCTTTGATCTGAACTTCATTCCTCCGAACGCAGAAAAGCACATCAAGAAGTCAGAGCCCAGAAATATCCAAGGGACGTCTGTGACATATGTGGTGATGCCCAGTGTCCTGGGAATCCTGCTGGCACTGGGAGGCCTGCTGTTCTACTTGCATAAATCCAGGGTAAGGTTGAGTCCTGCCTTAACAAACATACACCTACATTCCCTTCTTCTTCCTCTCTTGGTGGCATATTTGAGGCATAGAGTTTCCTGAAGTTAGTAACATAGACCTGTCATTTAGAGAGGAGTGTAGCTTCTTGGCAGAATACAGACTTTGTATGTGGGTTCAGTACTTGGCATCTCAAGGTAGGTCTGGAAAACCAATAGTGTTAGGTGTGACCGATAATGCCAGATGTGAATTAGTTTCTTGTGTCCCTGAGCAAAAACTCTTTCCCTGCATTTCCATTAAATTTTTCCTGCAGCCCATCTTCTGTTTTGTTTGCTGTTGTAAGATATCTTCCTTCTACTTTGTTTTCATTGGGAAGCAAAAAAAAATGAAAAAAAACCTGAGGTTTGTGGGGCATATCTCATCTCATGCATGTCTTGCAGTGGTTACTCTGTCTTGGATTGCCTGGGCCACCTTAAATCCTAGAGTTTCCTACACCACAAGACGCAAGCATTGCTTAAGATGGACTACCTCCCGTGCTGCCCAGCACCACACCTCGACTTCTTAAAAGTATTTGGCTGTAAAAGTATAGTGCTGAGGGTTGATGCTGCTGTCCTGATAAGTAGAAAAGTATATCCTGTGGTTCATCTTTTGATCCCTAGAATCAGGATAGGGTTGGAAAATGTTACTGAGCATCTTGAAAGTCTTACGGAGTTGAAGAAAAATTATAAATACCTTTCCAGGATGAACCAAGAGAAGATGTAGTTGCATGCTAGAGACTGTGTTGAGCCCTGCATTGTGATTAAACATGTTGCATGTATCTTTGCTTCATGCCTTATTTAGAAGAACTGCTTCATAGGAAGGAAGAGGAAACAAGTGTATCTCTTGATTTGTGGGGCTGGCACGGTCTGTGTTCCAAGGGTGAAATCTGTTGCTGCTTGGTTCACAAACAGCTTGCATAATTAAAGGGAAAAAAAGGATACATTCAAGGAATGGCTTTGACTATAGTAGTAACAGCTATCTTTTTGCAAGAAAACAACCAAGCTCAGAGAACCCCAAGGACTCCACAGCTATCTTTTTGTTAATGCTAAAATTTACCATTCTGTGCAATAAGAGACAGAGAAATATTGAAAAACCTGGAGGTAATAAGCATAGAATCTAACGATGGGCTTGACCCTTGGGGGCCTGAAAGGCATTCTTTACCTTTAAATGGCATGCCAGGGAACAGCACTGCAAAAGTGTGCCAAAGAAAACTAAACTTGATTTAACGGTTGATATAATTATTTTTCATGTGTTTAAAAACTACAGTTGAATAGCAAACTTTTGAAGGGGCTCTGTGAAGAGGCCCAGACAGTGCTGGGCTTCTGTGGTTTCAGAGAAACGTGCTTTCAGAGAGCGTTAAAAACGGCTGGTGACATCCCTGAACAAGTTTCAAAGAACAGTGCCCAATAGTATAGAGGCCTTCCATCTGCAAAGACAGCTGTTATGCTTGTTGGTAGCACTCAAACTGCAGTAGAAGCATTTTCTTGGAGTCATATTCAGTTTGTTTCCCCATGGTTGTTTCCTCTTGGGACAGCCACAGCTTTTAGCTGGAAATTCAGTGGCAGTGATACCAGCAGTTCAGCCCACTCTTGGTTGGTTCAAATCAGGGTTCTCTGTCCCAGTACCCAACTCTTCTTTTCTTCCGTACAGATCCTAGGAAAGAGGCGGACCCAGCAGATGGGGAATAATGCAGAAGGAACAGAAGAACAGAGGTGAGAAACTAGAAGATCATGACAGCTGCCTGTGCAGCTAGATTTTCTTCCGTTAGCCTCTTTCTACAGTAGATCAATCATTCCTGACTTTTAGATCCCCCCCCCGTGTCTCTCTCACACACTCACCCACAAACACACACTACACATTTCAGATTCTTATGTTTAAACTCATTGGCTGCCCCTCAAGACAACAGAGGTCTTGAATGTACTGCTGTGGGATTGAATCTGTTAGGCTGCTATGTGAATGTGCCAACCTGAAGCCTTCCAGATGCGTTGAGCTATAAATTGAGAGCACCAGGTCATAGAAAGTTGAACAAGATATTGACTAGTGAGTCATTGCAGCTCTTCCTCTTTGTCTTGATGTTAAGATTTCTGTTCCTTTTTTATAGGTCACTGAATGGAGGGGAGGGACATTTGGAGTTGCAGATTCAAAGGGAACTATGAGGTAAGATTTTTTTAACTTTCTCAGAGGAAAATAAGGTCTTTGGAGGTGTTTATGTTGCCTATCTTGCAACAAAATTGCTGGAAGAGAGAAAAAGATAGCAGTTACAGCATACGTGTACATAAATTTGGTGGGCAGTTTTGAATATAGCTTTCCTATGAATACTAAATGCTAAGGACAAGTAGGAGAATACCATTGTCTAATAGTCCAGAATTTTAGATACGTCTAAGTAGGCGCTATGGATTGTAGCTATGTCCTTAGGGGATAGCAGCAGATAGGCATCAACTTAGAATCCATTCTTAGTCTGGAAAAAAACCTACATTCTTATGTGACTGCATTTTCTGTGAAGTCAAGAGTCACCCATGAGAACTGAAGTTGGACCTTTTGCATATGCCTGAGTAAAAGTTCCTAAGTTGTTTGGTTTGTAATAAAATAATGGTTTGTGTTCTACCTCTTAACTCATTGACGCTTGAATTAAATACTGCATTGTCTTGATGACTCTTCATGTCTTTTTATTTTCAGCTACACCATTCCCTCTGAAATGAGAAACTGCCTGGGTTTTGGACTGAAAGCCCCACTTTTAAAATACAGTTCTCTTGCTATTATTGGGAGAAATTGCACAGAGGAACTCTGGAACTGAAGCCATGGCAGTACTTTCCCATGAAGAGTGTTTTCTACACTTTTTTTTTAATGGGAAGGAATTTATCAGGAAATGGACACTATTTATTTCTGGTAGCCAAGGCTGTCATTCATTATTACAAGTTGCCTTTTTTCTGCCACTCAGCCAACAAACTGGAGCTTGAGAAAAGGAAGATGGTCACTTGGACTGCAAAATCCCTTGTGAGATGGACATGGTCTACTAAAAACTACTGTGCCTATTCCATTTTGAAGGGGAATGGATGGTATCCTCTTCAGATCTATTAGAAGTGGATTCTGCAGTTTAAACAGCCATGCTAGGCATGAATGAAAATTGTCTGCTTAATTCTTTTAGAGCTTCTGGCCTCTTGAACTGCAGAAGACTTCAGGACCTCAGCTTCATGCCAGCTATTAATTTCTTTAGGCACTTTGTCCATCTCTTAAGCTTTGTAGGTCATACAGTACATCTCTGTGCACAACCCCATCCAGTTAGCACTCTACATAAACTAACATGTTTTTCAGAGAAAGTTGCTGTCTACCTTTCCAGGAGCTTATAGTTTTACTTCCAGGATCCATTTTTAACCTTATCATTGGGTAGCTGTTTTTAACCTTAAATTTTAACTTAGTAATAAAATGGATTTTACTTAGATTTTAGGACAGGCCAAAAAAAAGTACTTCATACTACACAAGATAACATGCTGGGTACTGGCTGGAATGGCTTTAAAGTGGAACTATGGCTTTTCTTTTATGTATTCATCTGTTTTTAGTCAATGATAAATGGAGGCTCCCCATTCAGAAACAAGTGTGCTTCTGAATGCCAATGGCTGGGTTGGTGTAAAGAAAATGAAGGCACATTGTAATGGCTGGCTTGTGGGGTTTCTTAACAACCTTCCAGTTAGCAGCTGTAGAAAGAAGCATCTGGCCTTTTCTAAGCAGAATTTAGCAACGGAATATTTATCTTTTTGAGCCTTGTATTGTACCACTGGTACAACGCACCAACTGATGTACCCCTGGAACATGACTCAAGTCATAATGAGAATTAGCCTTATTCCCCTTGTTTCCTCTGACATTACAAGAAGTATTACTGAAGACTTAGCTTGTAAACTGGGGCACTGATAAGAGATGCACAGGAACCATTGTTCCCCTGAAGTTGTTTCAAGTGTAAGTGGAACCATGTTTGAAATGCAGCTGTTCTGAGTTGCTGTTTAGATTTTCTCTCTTCTAGACCTCGCCACCACCACCACAAAGAAATTCTGTAGCAGGACAAACATGACCATGCAAACATCCAAGTATGGGCATGCTCTTAGAACTGCTGAAGTCATGTGCCTTTGGGGCATATGACTTTGTTTTCTTCTATTGTGATAAGGTGTCAGTATACCCTTCCTCACAATTCTTGCTTAATTTTTCAAACCTACTTTTTACTTCAGTAGATCTGTATTCCCATATTATTTTGCCAAGCAGATGCAAAGTAAGAGAGTGCTTGCATGGAAGGCATGGAGTAAGACTGAGGGTCCTGAACCCCTTTTGCACTTGCTGATTCTTTCCTGCAAGTATGTTGCCAGGCTGTATTCCTCAGTATTAGAACTTGGCTGCAGAAACAAAGTCAAATTCTTTCTTGTAAATGTATCCCTAGTCTTTAAAGGAGGCAGCATGGTTTCCCATCCATTGTCTGTGCCCTGCAGAGGCTAGATGTTTTCTTTAGCAGAGCAAGAAAATCATGAGGTTGAGAGCCCTGTGTTTGCCTCGAAATAAGTAGCCCTGTCTCTTAAGCTTTAGTTCCAGGATCTCATAGATAAGGTTTTGTCCCTCTTCTTTCTTTTTCCATGTTGTAGTGGAGAGTTGAGCTATAAGAAGCAAATGGGAGCTGCCTCGACAGCCATATTTTGAAGTGAAGCAAAGCAAAGTGTTGCACTTTCTATACTTAAAATGTTTTTCTGTTCGTTTTTGAGAACATTCCAGCTCTTCTAGGGATGTGTCTGGTTGAGGATCCAGAGTCATTCTGGCCTCATGCTTCATTTCAACCCATTTGCTTTTCTTTTTTCTGTATCTGATATTTTGCCCTTCCCTGTTTCAGCAAGGTAGGTGATGGTTCTGAGCTGGTCTCTGAGTAATGCTGCTACCTTTGCTGTTTGAAAGTTAATGAACCAGATCAATTTTGATAAAGCTGTTTTTTTTCTTTTTTAAGAGGAGGATGTGGATGTAACAAATCAGGCTCTGTGAGAAGCGACTGCTAAACAATGCAGCATAAATTGCTTTGTTGATATGAGCAGGCCTCAGTTTGATAGCTGTCCTCTTCATGTGCCAGTGAATGATTTTCTGCCATATAGTGTAGGTGCAATATCCTGAGCCATGGGGTGTGTGGCCCTCAGTTTAAGGTATTGGTCTAGCTAATCCAATAATCTCTGCCCAAGTCTGTCTGTTATAAGAAGTTGTTGTAAGAAGGGGGCTTGATGAGACATCATTTGATTGCTGTATTTTTTCTTTTCTTTCCCCAGACCAGTTTAGCTGGTTAAACTCGTAGAGAATTCCATTGCAAAAGGTGTCAAGCTCCATTTTTATTTTATTGCAGTAGGACATACGGAGGTGTTGAGATTTAAACGTTAGCGGGGGCTTTGTATAGGTCAATGAGCCACGCACAGGATTAGCATTGGCTTGTTTCCAAGGAAGATCAGTCCCCCACTCTCTCACCTTTGGGCCAGGTTTATCATTGTGCTTGGATGTGCAGTTGAATTGCTCCCTCTGAAGGACTTACTTGCTGGCACAGTGAAAGTTTAGTGTTAAAGTCAGATCCTAAGAACCACATTTCCATGTCTTTTTTAAAGTTGCTTTTTAAGAGAGTTACAATTCTGGTTCAAACTGTGTTCTTTTTAATATATAT